AGAAGTTACTGAAAATGAGAAAACTTTCGATTGCCAAGTTAGTCGGAATTCTTGAAACAGCAGTTCACAGGACTTCAACCAATGTAACTGAACAAGAGATTATGGTCTGTCTAACAGAATTAAAAAGAAAGTATTATCACAAAAAACGAAGCAACTTAAAATAACTTACATTGAAAGAAATGTTTAATAAGGTAAACAAATAAATATTAAGTTTTATTTTTGTAAATTTTGATACTCTGTAGATCATAAATACTTCATTATTTCATAAATCATGATTTCATATTTTTAATTTTATAATTTGTACTTGCCATCTTGCTAGATTTAAAATGATGATCTAATATCCAGAAAAATCCCAAATCCGGAATCGCCGAAGTCTCGACGAATCCGGATTTCGGACGTTGTATTGTATATAGCTATCTGTATTTGTTACTTGGCTGGGTGAGCTCAGTATTTTTATTCTTATATGTTGGTAAACTGGTTTTATTTATTTATTTATTTTTTCGTGAAAGTGGTTGAATTATGTTGTTCGTATGTTCTGGTTAAGATAGTTATGCCTTTACTTAATCTGTGTGCAGTAGTTTTAGAGTTATCAACAATTAAAAAGTTGAAGTGGCATTAAGTCTAAGGAAACGGCCATCTGTTTACCTTTGAAATTCTTATTAGAATAGTGCATTAAGTTCGTTGTATGCCATCTTCAGTTTGTTTTTTCAAAGTGGAACCAAAAGTTAACGTTCAATTTTGTTCACCAGGAATTTGGTCGTTCTGCCCTTTGACTGAAGTGTTTGTTTTTACATGTATACTCTAATTTTAATTGTACGTACAAGGAAGTCATAGGATGTCCGCATCAGACTTTTTTTTTTTTGGCCTGTGGAAGGGAGCTGATGTGCACTTTTTAATTATGACTTATCTTTAAAATAAGTTTACAAAAATCAATTAAATTTTATATTGAGAAAAGAGTGACACTTTCTTATTCACTATGCTACTGAAATGCATGGAATTCTATGTAAAAATATATAAAACCTGTTTTTTATATAATTTGAATATTGATTTATTACCTTATGATTAATTTTTTAAATTTTACATATGTATATGTGTGTAATCTTTCCCTTGCCTACTAATGTCAACAACTTTTTATTGTGTCGTATTCTAGAAAAGTGATATCCACTTTGTAAATTCATGTGTTTGGACATTACATTTTTGTCATTTTCAAGAAACCTCCAGATTCAAAGACCAAAATGAAACGAAAAAACATGATAAATTCTCATTCATGTAAACACTTTTACTTGCTGTTGGTTGATGAGTTGCAGACATAAAAATCAATTTTTAGAACATGCCATGAGAAAAACTATATCTTTTGCTGCCACATGTAATTAATACAGTCAAAAGTCATTAATTCGGACACCCTTAATCCGGAATTATCTGTAATCTGGACCTCAAAGCTACAAACTTTCTGCGCATGCGTCGCGTTGACGCATGCACATAGGCATTTACGCGTGCGCGTAAGACCTTTACGGCTGTGCATAATATGTTTACGCATGCACGTTTATTGTATAACGGATGGTATAAGCTAAAATTATCTAATTATCTATTTCAGTTAATGTTGCAGATTGCGTTGTTCCTTAATCTTCGAATTGGATCCGGCTTATTATTTTTTGCAGACTGTTAGAGCAATTTTATAAAAGTAAGCTCGAACTTTCAATTATGTCAAAAAGAATTTCAGATTCTGGAGCTGCCAAAGGATCTACAAAGCGAAAGCATGTTTCAATGTCCATCAAACAGAAAGTGGAATTTCTGCAAAAAATGGATAAAGGCATGTCTTTTGTTTCTCTAACCATTCTGAAATCTGTTTATCAATTTCGTGCTGCTCTGCGGCGGTGGGGGGGGGGGGTGATGGTGCGGCACGCAATGAATTGGAAGTTGATCTGTCAGCACTATCCTTATCTTCAGGGCAGATGTTTTTATTTTATTTGGCTTATAATTCCTTACTAAATGTAGTATTTCATCTAGATGTACTCCGTCTTTGATATAATTTAAATCATATTTCTTGTCATTATAATTCGCTTCCGATAGTGAAGAAAGTGACACAGAGGTTATTGAAAACGAAAAAATTTCAATTGACAAATTAGTCGGTATTTTCGACACAGCAATTATAGGACTTGAACAGCAGAACTTTGTAACTGAACAAGAAATTATGTCTGTTTATAGAATTAAAGAGAAAGTATTATCACATAAAACGAAGCAACTAAAACAACTTACATTGAAAGAAATGTTTAACAAAGTAAACAAATAAATATTAAGCCTTTTTTTTTTTTTTTTTTTTTTTGTAAATTTTGATACCATTTAGATCATAATTGTTCTTTATTTCATAAATTATGGTTTCATATTTTTAATTTTATAATTTCTGCATGCCATCTTACCAGATTTAAACTGATGATCTATAATCCGGAAAAATCGATAATCCGGAATCGCCGATCTCCCGACGAGTCCGGATTAACGACTTTTGACTGTACTGGGAATAAACTTTAAATTGTCTGATTAGATGGAACAAATTTAATGACATCCCTACTTTGTGCAAATCTGATTGGCTGAGTTTGACATTGGATTGTAGCATTGTGACAACATTGTCTAAATGAGTTTTATATATATATATATATACACTTCATAATTCCGTGAAATAAGTAAAGAATTATTGAAAAGAGACACACTTTCATGAAATATTCGAGGTTTTTGGGGTTTGATGTGGCATTATTGGAATAATACGCATACAAATAATGGGAGATGGCCTTTTGCTCCATTTCAAGGCTGACCTAGGTTTAAACGCAGCTGTAAGTCAGTTTCAATTTTTCATGAAACCTTATTAAAACTTTATTAAAAGAGTTTACATTTTCGCATGCAACTTGTGTGACATCTTTTGTTCAGTTTATAGTAGTAGTTAGAAACCAGTATAAATAACTTTAAACGGTTATAAATAATTAAGTAATCTCAATAAACTATTCTTATTTTTTTCTGATAAAGTTTAGGAATTAAATGTCCAGTTCAGTTTAGAAATTATGTTCAATTCATTTCTTCCGAGTTAACACTGAGTAGTTTGGAAATTGGAAAGAATGGCCTTCTTTACGCTGGTGACCAAAAAATTTGCACCAGAAATACTGCTAAACAAATGCGTGTGAAATAATGCTAAAATCTATGGCAGTGCTCGGATGCTACAGACATTATTTTGAAAAAATGTATACCTTTTCTCGCATTAATGAATTTCAGAAATGACTTTTTTTTTTTTATTCCAACTTTTAAAAATTAGCTACGAACAGTCTGAAGCTCAGCAGGGCTGAATAAATGACCACTTACTATTAAAAGTTTGATTCGAATTCGAATCTTGTGGTTGTATGGATATTTTTGTTTCCAGATATGTGTAATGTAGATAAGATTTGTTCTGTTGAATAACTTATTTGAAGCACAAGTAAAATTAATAGTTTGTAGACTATAAGGGTTGAAAGCTCATTGTCTCCAACCCCCCCCAAAAAAAATCACGCCATAATATCGACAGACAAACGAGTATTACATTACTTATGAAAACGAAAGCAGTATCTACCGATAGTTCACAGTATGCGTAATGTGAATGAGATTTATTCTTAAAAAGATTTCAGTCAACCACCCATTACTGCTTTCAAATAAACAAATATTAACAGTTTTAATAATGAGTCGAAGGGGCAATTGCTCTTTGTTTCCGACAAAAAAAAAAAAAAAAAAAATCATGCCAAACTGTTGATTTAAGGAAAACGCAGTTCGCAGAAAACAGGCATTTGCGTGAACTGCTATCCTGGACCAAACTGACGGCAGGCGCATGCGTATTCTGATGTCGCCAAATGTTATGGGTATTCGAATTGCGAAACAAGGTACATCCCAAAATTAAGCCAAATTCTGGGGGGGGGGAAAAGAGAGAGAGAAAGAAAATATTAATGCATGCTTTTAAAAATTAATCAAAATTGTCACCTCTTTATATGTAAGGAAAGAATTATATTCCACTGCCAAAATGATAGAACAACTTGGAATTGCTCTTTTTGAATCGTTAAGGCTGAATACATTTTTTTCGTTGATAATTTTATTTCATCAGTTAACAAAAAAGGAGGGAATTAGGGATGCATTCCTTTTTTTAAATTCCCGTCTGGGTTGGAGCCTAGCAGAGCCCACACCCTTCGTGCGAATGATTTCGGTTATGGCGCGTATCGATGTGTACATGGGCAAAGTCAAGGGAGTGTGCAATGCAAAGTTTGTGCAATTCTCTGATGTTTTTTGAAGTGAAAATAGGTTGATGTGTACATGGATACCGAGTTGTGCAATTCTTTGATTTGTTATTTTCAAGTTGACGATTTTGAGAAATGTGCCAAGCAGTGGGCACTTTCCCAGTTTGTCACCAAGGGTGTGGGCTCTCCTAGGATTTTACCCCAGTTTGCAACAATTTTCCTGTTTTTCAGTAATAAACAGGTTTGTGCCCAAATAAAAATACATTCAAACATGAAATTTTTGTTTGTAAAAATCAAGAAAGATAGATGTCCATGGCTGAGATTTTAAATTCTTAATTAGAGAGAGTATAGTTTAAAAAATAAAGTGCAAGTAAGATGGGGTTTCATTTGTATGAAAACTCCTAGTGGAATAACATACATCATATTTAAATTTATATAAACAGGGTGAGGCATGCTTTTGTGGCATAACTGGAAAGCATGTCCAGCTAGCAGTCAGAAGATCAGAGTTCATTCTGTTAGATCACTGCACATTTTTCACATCTTCAGCTCCAAAATAAAATGCCAAATGATTCTATGAGGGGGTATGTTATTTATTGGTAAAGTAGTAGATGTTTCGTATTTTAAAGAAATCAAAATTATCTTACATTGTTATATTCCATATGAATTTATATTTGCCATTGAAGGCAATGTCTTTCTAGTGTAAATTATTGTGCAGTCTGTTGTTTAATTTTATATCAGATCATTTTAAAATTTTTTCAGACACATCTCAATGGATTGCATTCTTTACAAAAGCTGGTCTCCCACCAAATGTGGCTGCCAATTATGCATTGATATTTTCAGATAATCGAATACAACTTGATATGCTGATGGATTTGTCAAAAGAATATCTTTTTGACATGGGAATTAGAATTATGGGTGATGTTATTGCTATATTACGATTTGCAAAAGAATTCCATACCCAGGTAGTTATTATTGTTTTTCATGTTAAGCTTCAATTTTTTTTTTTTAAATCAGAAATCATAATGTATTGTTAATTTTGTTGTATGAAGCATTTGTTAAATCTATATTTTACCTTTAAGGATATTTTTCAGCCTTATGTTGGTAGAATGTAACACTTTTGCTGCCATCTATGAGAATACTTGTAGTTGGCACACTGTAATAAACCTGAGTACTTGCCAGGTATGAGTTTTTTCCTAGAGTGTCTCATAGCTACAAGTATTCTTGACATGTGTGAATAGATGCACTATATCAGCTTTGGCAGTAAATGTGTTAAGGAAATACATCTTATCTTTGTTGTTATACATGACGTGTCTTTGCTATCTACAGCAGTTAAAAGAATGCTTAAGACTTTTTACATTATTTTCCATAGAAAATCCAGTTATATTTATTTTTTAAGTGAAAGGGGAAAATATGCTTGTATGTGTATTTATTCAATAGTTGAAGTTTGAAATATATATATATTTTTTGTCTAATATAAATTCAGATTTGTATACCTATATTTTCTATTATTTAGAATTTCGTCTCTTTTTTTTTAGTTAGCAAAAGAAAGGGTTATTGGAAAGATGCCAATGGTCAAAAATAAATCAGCAGGTGTGTATATGATTTGGAGCTTTATCATTAACCTGCTTTTATTTTTATACCTTTAGTTAAATAATGTAGGTTGAAAACTTTAAAGTAAATACTACATTAAGATGCATGTTCAGTTATTTTCCAAACTCAGTGTAATATCCATTTTATTCCAAGTTTGTATGTCACCTTTTAGTATTACAGTACAAAGTCCGAAATCCAGACGTCCATTATCCGGAATAATCTAAAATCCGGACCTCAAAGCCACAAAAAAAATTTTTTATTAATGCTTTACGCATGCACATTTGGTTTTTCCTTCCGTAATAAAATGTGTGGAGATTTTCACTTAAAAATTCCGATTCTTAATTTCGCTTAGGCACTAAATAAAATACCTTGTTATGGAAAAACAATCATGTAAGCATAAATTTGTGAGATTAATAATTTGGCTCCGTAGCTGAGTTATCTTCTTGGCATACATCTCCGAAACATTCACCTATTTTATATCCCTGATGCCGACTTGGCAAGTCGTTATTTATTATATTTTGTTTTCATCACCGCATGTTTATCAATATATGACAGCTTCAGTAATAACGCATGCTGTGATGTCTAAGCATTTTTATATTAGTAATTTAATAACAAGAGTATGGCAACCTTTTATGCTAACATTAATTACGCTTGGCGATTATAGATTTTTAATTGCTCTAAGAAATGTTGACGAGGAAAAATTCAACAAAAATTTCTTTTCATATGCTAAAAATGCCAAAAGATTACATTTAGTGCTATTTTAATTAAGAATAATTGATATGTTATTTACCATAAACTCAGAAGTGGCAGCAGAATATGTTGTTACCAGACAGCAGAATTTAGGGAAGGCAAAATTTTTGGAATTTGAGGAAGCACTGAGCGGCAAAATTAAGGGATGAAAAGTTTTTATGATTTATGGAAAGCACTGGGATCCAAAGTTTAGGCACGGTGAAAATTTAGAACTTAAGAAAGTGCTTTGTAGCAGAATTTAGGATCCGTAGAGACTGCAGCAGGCGGTATCGAGCGCCAGCCCTAAATAAAACCTTAAATATATGTGGGAGTGTATTTATTCAGGACTCGGATTAGTTTGAAGCATGTGCAAGAAATAAATGTAGGTATAGTAAATAACTAAATTAATACAATCCAGGCTTAATTCAGGCTTAATGTATAACAGATGCTATTAAGTTAGGCTAAAATTATCTAAGGCATTTCAATTAATGTAGCAGACTGCACTGCTCCCTGATCTTCTAATTTGATCCAGCTTATTATTTTTTGCAGACTGTTATTATTACGGCAATTTTATAAAAAATAAGCTTGAACTTTCGATTATGTCAAAAAGAGTTTCAAATTGTGGAGTTTCCAAAGGATCTACAGAGCGAAACCATGTTCCGATGTCCATTAAACAAAAAGTGGAAAAAGGCATATCTGTCTCAAAATTACGCAAGGACTATGGCATTGGAAAGTCTACTGTATATGACACAAAAAGAAAAAAGGAACTTTTTGAATTTTTTGTGGAAGCATCTTAAACAACTTACATTGAAAGAAATGTTTAATAAAGTAAACAAATAAATATTAAGCTCTTTTTTTTTTTGGTAAATTTTGATATCATAATTGTTCATTATTTCATAAATTATGATTTCATATTTTTAATTGTATAATTTCTGTATGCCATCTTACCAGATTTAAATTGATGATCTATTATCTGGAAAAATCCCAAATCCAGAATCACCAAAGTCCCGACCATTCCGGATTTTGGACTTTGTACTGTATTTACAAAATAAAAATTCTGAATTTTATGAGGCAATTTACTTGAAAAATTAATTTTGAGAAAAATACAATTTTATATAAAATTATTGTCTTCATTAAGAATGAAGCTAGCTCAAATGATTTTCATGAAAGAATATGAAGCAGAAATAATGTTAAAATTACAGTACTCTCACTTATCCACCCAACCTTCTTTGTACACCCTATTAAATATTCTTTTCCCAACAGCAAAAAACTTATATTGTTCGATGTTTATTATTAGACTAACTACATATATAAACTGTTATTATATGTGTAGTTAACTTTTGTTATTTGTTGTTGAAATTTTTTTTTTTTTTAAACTTCACATTGTCAGAACATAAATTTTTTCATCATTTAAAACACTTCTGTAATTGGAATTGTGACTATGACTGACGATTATGAAAATAAAGGTGTGTGTAATAAAATAGAATTCTCTTTATTTAAGATTATTCTAATTAGAATTTACTTTGTTTTTTCTTTCTTTGGGAAAGAGACAGAATTTTCGGGTGAACTATTAAAATTAAAATACATTAAAACGGTTCATTGGCTAAATTCTGGGTCCAGAAAAGGAAGGATTTTTGTAGAAGAGAGATTTCAATTAATTTCAGTGTTCTTTCCCTCTGGTACAGTGACACTGAGTTTGAATAAATTCCTCTTCTGTTTCCCCCCCCCTCTCCTCACCTGTAAATTTCATTAATTTTTTTGAAATGTGGTTTTGCTTGTTTAAAATGTTTTGGTTTTAATATTTTTCAGTTATTTGTTGCGTTTATATGATTATTTGAAATTTAATAATTATGAATTTCAGTTTCTGGTCTTTGTGAAATATTAGTTCTAAATTTCTTACTTTATGTCTTTAACGATAATTTTTCTGCAGCTTAATGCACAAAAATACTAGGCATGTTTATATTTTGTTTTCAAAAGGTTTTTTAATTTTGTTTTGTAATTATATATATATACATATATATTATATATATATATACATATATGTAAGATTAAAAAATATAAAAGCAAACTTCTGAAGTTAATTCACTATAACATTTTATTTTTTTTAAATTTCATTTAAGAACTTCCGCTAGTGCTGTAAGTCTAAATTGCGTCATTCGAATTAATCATGTGATCTTACATAACCCTTAACCTTTTGCGGTGCACTATACGTTAATGTCGGCATTTCAACAAAAAAAAGTTGTATGCAGTCTCTTTAGTCCTAAAGGAGTATACAGGTAAAATTTTGTAAAAATTGCACATACCGTTTTAATTCTGTGGGTGTTCCATGAGGTGGAACACTGTGCTGCCAGAGCTTTTAAAAGTGTGACTAAGCGAGCATTGCAGTGAAGCACGAAAATGAGTAGAAGCGTTTGTATAAGAATGAAATTATGGCTGTATAAATGGTTTCCTGGATATACACAATATTCTTGAATATATACGGATAAATGAGGTAAATATCTATATACACAAGTCCTATATACAAAAATACGAGGGTTGGAACTTTAATAGTGGCAACACAGCTGAAAAACTGCTACGCAACCAAACCAAAGAATATCGCGTATACCACACGTAAACTACATACCTACCGTACCTCTCAGCAAAAAGACTCGTCCTGCCTACGTCACGCGCATGCGGAGTGACGCGAAGAACGGATCCTTGTATTAGCTCGCGGTCTAAAGTAAGCGTTGTCAGGATGTTTTCAAAACAAGAACAACGATGTTGGATAAAAATTGAATGTGCCTGAGGTCGTACAGCACGACCTCTGGCACATTCTTGCGGCACTAGACCGGTCTGCATTGCCTTACAGAACCGTAGCAAGATGGGTGAAAGCATTCAATGAAGGACGCCAAAACGTGGCAGACATGCTGCGGCCAGGTTGTCCGAGTGTCCAAGAGCTCCGAGAGCCAAACGATTCGTCCGCTGGCCGGACAAACAGGATTAGCGCATACGACTGTGCTGCACATTCTGAAGGAACGCCTGTCCATGAGAAAAATTTCTTCACGATGGGTTCCACATCAGTTGACGGAAATGCAGAAATGGCTACAATACGATGCTGCCAGAACCCACCTGGAGCGCTATGAGCACGAAGGAGATGCTTTTTTACGCCGTATCATTACGCTGAATGAGACTTGGGCCCGATAGTACCAGCCAGAACTGAAACGCCAATCAAACGAATGGCATCATCACAGGTCACCACGACGTTTGGAGAAATTTCATCAGAACCCCAGCAATGTAAAAGTTATGGTGATTCTCGTGTGCAACTGTGATGGTGTCATCCTAACGCATACCGTTCCATTAATATTAACAGTAAAGAAAAATAAGCCTATAATATATACATACACGAAAAATATCTACACAATTATTGAAAATAAACGGGAATGAGACTAAAAAGCGACAGCAAAATATTCATGCAGGTCTAAGTAAAGATGAGTCAAGCTACTAATAAAATTCCTGCCTAAAAACGACTTCCAAAAAATTCAAGATGCCAATATTAGGGCTTTCATAACACAAAACACACCTCACCCCTCAGATGCACAGATGTTCTGACTCGTAACAGCATGAAATCGCTAAAGGCCCAGTGTTCCCGCTAATGGAACACCTGGTTTCATTCAATGATTCTGCGTATGGTTTTTATGTGAAAGATTAAAAAAAATATAGAACAAATAATTTGGAGTACAGCCAGAAATATTATGCCTAATTTTTTTTTCCAAATAAAATTTTTTATGTCATTAAAAAAACAGAAAATTACTTGAAAAAAGTGGATTTTAATAACACATAATAATTGAAAATTCTGTGTCTCCTTGTGATATGCTGCTATCTACTGTTTAAAAAGAAAAAGTTCAAAGTATATTATAAAGGCATTTTTATCTATTTATGGTTTAATTTAAAGGTTTCAGAAGCGATTCAATTTGGGTGTTCAATGTAGTGGAACACTGAGCCGCAAAGGGTTAATGCAGATGCCTCTTGGCCAATCACGAAAGTATAAACCAAAACTAAAAACAAACTTTTGACTCCCTTCTTTCTGTGAACTGATGCGTCACTTTTGCTTGTTCTTTCCTCTTAGCTAGACGCCTTTCTGCAATCACGTGTGTGCTGCTACATTCACTACTATGGCAATAATATCAAAATTGTAAATGTTCTTTATTAGGCATAAGTAGAGTGCCAAGTGAATTGTGGCCACAAAATGAGAATTTAAATAAAAAAGGAATTTAATCCGAGTCGACTGCTTC